GGAAGACCCATGTTTTAAAAAAACAAACAAACAAAAAACAAAACAAAAAGCAAATCACTCAGCCAGTGGTTCTCAAGCTGTGGGTCGCAACCCCCTTGGCAAACTTTTATCTCCAAAAACATATTTTCATTACGATTCTTAACAACAGTAGAGTTACAGTTATGAAGTAGCAACAAAAAAATTTTTTTGGTTGAGGGTCACCACAACATGAGGAACTGAATCAAAGGGTCTCGGCATTAGGAAGACTGAAAACCAGTGACTTAGTCCCAGCGCAACAGCAGGAGACCCACACCCAGACGCTGTAACTCTCTGACCAGCCACTAAGGTAAACGTCCTGTAAACTACCTGGTAACGTTCTGCAGCACCTCAGAATATATTTTCACACACAGAAAGATACGTGCATGGATAGGAATATATATATTATAAAAAAAATTTCAATTTTATTATTTTCACTGAAATAGAATATTGCCATAGCTGGATTAGTTACAAGTCCAAAGGAGGCTCGCTCACTAAAAGTTTTCCCCCTTTTTCTTTCCTTTTTTTTTTTTATATATTAAAAACTCTTTGTAGCTGGGTGTGGTAGAGCACACCTTTAATTGGAGCACTTAAGGAGGCAGAGGCAGGCAGATGTCTGAGTTTGAGGCCAGCCTGGTCTACAAAGTGAGTTCTAGAACAGCCTGGGCTACACAAAGAAACCCTGTCTCAAAGAAACAAAACAAACAAGCAAAAAAAAAAAAAAAAAAAAAAAAAAAATCCTGCCCCAACCCTTTGTATGAGTTGTTTATTTTCATGGTCCTGTGGAGAGAGCCCTGAGCCTCCTGAATACTTGGTAAGCACCCCACCAATGACCTATACCCCAACACCCCAAATCTATCTTAAAGTATATGGCAGTTAAGTACAATGAGATATTTTGTTTTCCAGCCTTGTTCTAGGAATGAACAGATTCATTGCTAAAAGCCCTTCGCTGTACACTCCTTCTCATGGGAGATGAGGCTTCTGGCCTGAGGTGCCGGACAGTGGCAATTAGTGATGGCATGGCAGGGTTGGGGGTGAGTGTGACCTTTGGAGCCAGGGGAGGGATTTTTACTGCGGAGTTTTGTGAACTTGGACACCCTACCCTTGCCTGTGAGATGAGGTTACCAGATGTCCCTTACAAGAAACTAGTAAATACTTAATGGTAATGTGTCAAGTTGGTTTATTTTCCTTAACTGTTGATCTAAAAACTGAAATGGAGCTGGGTGTGGTAGCACATGCTGTAATCACAGCCCTGAGGAGGGGAAGGTAGGGGCATCAGGAGTTCAAGGCCTGCCTGAGACAGGCGCGCAGCAAGCTTTACATGAGACCTTGTCTCAAAAATATTGTTTGTTTGTTTGTTTTTCAAGATAGGGTTTCTCTGTGTGGTCCTGGCTGTCCTGGAACTCTATAGACCAGGCTGGCCTCAAACTTACAGATCCACCTGCCTCTGTGTGCACCACCACCACCACCCAGCAAAATATGTTTTTAATTGGATCCAAGTGCATTTCAAAATAGTAAAGGGTTTGTGTTCAAGTTCCTGTACACTTTTCACCTCCACATATTTTCTTGTCCCGCTCTGCTTTTCACAGTGACAGTCGTTTGTAAAGATATGCAGACTGGCAGGACAGCCCTGGAAACAGGGGGAGTTGCTCTGTTGAACCCTGCAAGATGGGCAGTTACTCAGCCCATGGATGGGAGGAGCTGAAGAACAGAAGGAAAAGGAGATGCCATCTTTGACCGCTTGCACCCATGTCCAAGCCCGAGTCTCTGCAGCAACTTCCAACTTCTCCCACCATGGCCTTCACCTGGGCTGGCTCTGCCTGCACATTTGTGGTCAGAAAAAAAAATAATATAAATAAGAGGTAGAAGCAAAGTATAGGAACTAAAAACTAAAAAATTCTCTCTATCCCCTCTTCTTGCACAGTGGCCATTGGGAAAAAACTCACCTGGGATACATACACTAAGTCAAGACAAAAGGTCCTTTTTAGCACAGAACTGAGACAGTATAGGCAAGGCAGAAACCACAATGGCCTACTAACCCTCCTTCCCCCAAATCTAGTTGGTGACTGAGATCACACCACTGTACCCCCGCCACGCTCTCCACTCCTAGGCACAGTTAGCTTTGAGGATTCAGTCATGTCCAAGCCTGTTCACACCCTTCGTCGTCCATATTCCCGTAAGACTGACCATCTCCTCACCTCCCTTCCACCCTTCTGAGTCTCCATCACACATCAGCTCAGTTAAGCACCAAGATCCCACATCTTCTCCTCGAAGCCCAGCAACTGTGTATTGTGCTAAGGCTATAGCAGAGTCCGACTGTCCCTCTTACCACTGCGCCTCGTGATACAGCCCTGCTGAGTCTCGCTGAGTCTCGGTTCTCAGCCCTGCCCATGCTGACTCTCCTTCCAGAGCCACATAGCTCCCTTACTCCTTTGCTGTGAGAATCTGCTTGTTCTTTGAGGACTCACTTGAGCATGCCATCGCACTAAGATCCGCCCCAGCTGCTGTGGCTACACAGAGCGGTGCCCCCGGCTGAGTCCCCACGGCTTCAGTCTCATTCTTTAGAACCACGTTGTTCCATAGGCGCCTCCAGGACGGGGCAAACCTGAGCTCTCTGGCACTCTCACAAACAGAGCCCTCCAAGCTTCACCGGGTAAGTGAAAAGGCGTTAGCACGACAGTGCCTGTGAGACGGCCCCTTGGGCCAGAAACTTCCAGATGGCTGTTACACAGCGCCACCATAGAACAGACGGATGACTCATCCGAGTCTGGACTCGGTCCCAGCTGCCAAGAGGTCTTAAACCGTTAGATGCCAGTTTCCTCCTCTAAATACTGATGTCTGTGGTAACATCAGTATGACCGCATCACAGTGGTCAGAAGGCTAAAAGAGTCAACACTGAACAACACACATGACAGTTCCGGCCGTGGAAATGCCTCCAAAAGACCAACTTGTTCAAAACCAAATGTTAGATTTTTATTACTTCCTTTTTCTACCATTGATCTCTTACAAAAAAAAAAAAAAAAAATCCCATTTCCTAAGTGTTTTCTTGTTTTAAAAGAAGGATCCCATTGTCTACTTCCTGGAAATGAGAGGGCAACCTATGCTTGGTTAGAAAATGGACAACCAAGGCTAGGTAGGCCCTGAAATCAGGGGCCTGGAAACCCCACCATTTACCACGGAAACCGTGACAGAACCTTGTTGACACCTAACCCTTCCTTTCCTCCGCTGGGCACCAAAGCCCCTCAGGGTGGAAGGGTAGAGGCTGGAAGCCCACTCCGTGGCTTGACTTTTACTTTCCTCCCACTTGCGGCTGAGTGGGCTGCACCACAATTACTCAAGGGCCGTGGAGGGCAGGGAACCACAGGCCTCAGCATCTTCTGAGTGTCCCCCCCCCCCCCCCCCCGGGTCCCCGATGAGCGATGAGCGTTCACTAACGCTGAGACGATTCCCAGCAATCACACTCACGCCTCATCCAAGCATGGGCGCGACCACACAATGGCTTTTAGAGCCAAAGACCCCGAAGCAGGTCTGCTCTCCTCCGCAAGCACTTCCTTTTAGACAGTGGTTCTCAAGCTGCCTAAGGCTGCGACTCTTAATGCAGTTCCTCAAGTTGTGCTGACCCCCAACCGTACATTCATTGTGTTGACACTTCATTACTGTAATTTTGCTACTGTTGTAAGCCGTAATGCAAATATCTGAGAGGCAGGGCATCTGATATGTAAAAAGATCACTCAACCCCCGCAGGGTATGCGACCCACAGGTTGAGAACCGCTGCTCTAAGACATTACTATTGTTACCCTGTTCTGAAAAGATTCAAAATACGCTCTGGTGGCTGCAGACCTAAGAAAGCCTTTTTGTTAAGCAAAGTTTTTTTTTTTTAATTATAAACTTTGTTTTTTTTTTTTTTTTAAACTTACAAATAACTAAAAACAACTACACAGCAAAGGTAACCAGACCCAGTCTACAATACGGTTAGAGCAGGCACTTAGAATGGAATAAGTGGCGTTTCGAGATATATTTTTACACTTCCAGTTTCAAATATACTTTATGCATTTATCCACCATCAAGAACAACAACAAAGGTGGGTAACAGGATTAAAACTAGAAAAGCACTTGGGTTAGTCTCCATGTTTACAACTGGGGTCCATCGCCTGCACCCAGTCCTTCCTCAGCCCCTTATAGGTAACCTCCTCCATGTCATACTGCACGTTTGTGTACAATTGTTTGCATACATGCATATATTATTGGCTACATGCCACGAAGGGCTCTCTAACAGGCCCAAGCATGACAAACATGGCGCCAGCAAGTTTTGTCCTCCCTCCTTCCCTCTCCCTTGCTAAACCATTAGATTACATTCCTAAAGCTAGCCCCCAGGTCTATTCCCTTATTTGGCCACTGACTCACTCCTGAGAGAAAACACCGAGGTCCAGCAATCAAAATTCATTATTTGGCTACACTGGCTAATCTGTCCAGTCAGGATTTACAGACTCATCTTAGCAGAGTCCCACTTTCTCCTTAAGACTTTCTCCTGCAGAAATACCTGTTGCCTGCCTTTGCCCCATCCAGAGGCACCCCGCCTCGCACCCCACCTCCCACCCTGCCTCCCATCCCACCTCTCTCCCCTGCTTGTCTCCTCTGTGCTGAGAATTTGGTATTTGGATATGTTCTGTACTAACGCCAAGGAGCCCCCTTTCATCCCATATAGGAGAGAGAACACGTGGCATTTTTCCTTCTGAGAGTGTGTGACCTTGCTTAATGTATAATCTGAGTCCATCCATTCTCCTGAAGATTGCTTTAACTTCAAATTCCTTTAGAACTGAGTAGTATTCATATACATAATGTACATTTTATATAATGCATACACTAAATTTTCATTATCCATTTATCTATTAATAGACAGCTAGGTTGGTTCCAGTTTTTTTGTCATGGTGAAGAAAGTCCCAATAAACAGGGGCATGCAAATATCTCTGGGGTGGGTGTGGGGGTTCTGAGGTGGGATGGCTGGGTCATATGGCTTTTGTCCTTCCACAGGGGCCATGCTAATCTTCTCTGTATCGTTCCAATTTTAGTATATGTGCTGCCGAAGCGAGCACTTCTTTTCTTTTTTAAATCTCCAAAGGGATTTCACAATGGTTCCCTCTGTTTCCTTTCCAACACTGTTGTCAGATTTCTCAATGATAGCCTTTCTGACCAGGGTGTGATATCTCAAAATCGTTTTAATTTGCATTTTCTGATTGCTGGGGACATCAAACGCTTTTTACAAATAGTTATTGGCCATTTGTATTTCTTTCTTTTCTTTCTCACTCTCTCTCTTTTGAGAGCCATCTATTTAGTTTTTTTGTTGTGGTTGATTGGCAGTTTGGTATTTAATTTCTGCAATTATTTGCAAAGTCGGCATGTTAGCCCCTTGTCTGAAGTGGAGCTGCTAAAGATTTCTCCTATTCTCTGGCGGATTGGTAACTCTGATTGTCTCTTTGGCTGAACAGAAAGTGGCCATACCTTGGCTGTTTTATTTAAGCCAAGGCCTGGGAATGGACCTTCACTGCACAGAACCCTAACTTAACCCGTTGGCAGCAGAGTAACCATGCTCGTTCACCTTGAAGCCTCTTCTGGACGGGGGCTTCACCCAGCTGTGCGCCCTGAGCACGGCTCTGCTGCCCCGGTGGCTGGCTGCGCTGTCTTGCGCAGCATGGCCAGCAGCATCTCGTCTCCCACCAGCAGAAGGCACGAACTACTTCACTGCATTCCCTAACCAATCAGCTGTCACTCCCCATGCTGTGGACGTGGAGGCAGACGGGCAAGGGGGCTGTATCTGGGAGCTTTCTCTAAAGTGAATCCAGGGCCATGCGCTAGGCTAGCCCTGGGTGTTCACTAAGAGGTGTTCATATGGGCAGAACATGCAACCCGCTTGTCCCAGTGAGTTATTGGGGACATCACTCCAAGCCCCAACAAATGGTTCAGTTATGAGTCCGGGGCAGTGAGACTGGAGAAATCAAGTACAATTAATCCAAAAACTTCCAGACTCAAAAACCCTCAGAATTCTGAAACTTTTATGTTTAAAAGAGGCCTTACAGGAAAGCTGGGGAGGACTCTGTGAGTGCAAAATCAATACATTTCAAAATTTAAGCAGCGGCATGTTCCCAAAACAACCAAAAGTCAACGGGACTTCAGGTTGGAGGATGAAACGGTTGGAAAAGTGGAGCGGGCGGGGAGGGCGGTACGAGAGTGACACAAGGATTATGAAAAAGGGCCCGGATGTGGGCAAAGGAAAAGCCAGTGTTTCCAGGCTGAGATGGGAATGCCGGAAGTTGCAGCGGTGGCTCCTCCCCGTCAACCGTTCTCAGCATGTGCTACTTCCTTGCTCTGGAACGTTCTTGAACCTCACCCTTCCAATCCACCCTTCTTCCCCGTGAGCCTTCAGGTTTCGGCCCAATTGACACCTTTGCGGAGAGGGCTTCAATGCCAGCTAATCTAACATATTGACTAAGCCAGTGGGCGGGTGGCAGGAAGAGGCCGGCAGGAGCCGGTGGAGGAGTTGCTTCTGTACTGCACCTGCCGTGGGCACCCCCACACCCGTGCTGCCCACGCCAATGTTGCTTTTTCCTCACAAATTTGTCTGTGGATGGTGAAGAATCCAAACATCCACCCATTTAAAGGTACACGATCAGAATCAATGTCTTCCTCTCTCGAGCAGAGTTAGCTAGGACACCATTATGACTGCAGACACTTTGTGATGAGTTATCATGTGCCGCCAGCCAGCACGACACCCCACATATAGTGGGTCTTCATCATATGCTGACTGAACAAAGTTAGTCGGACCAATTTTAGCAAAACTCTGCAGAGTTTTGGGTGCTGCCAGGAGGATTCTGCTACTGCTGTCGGCACTTTGCTGGCCAAATCTCAGAAGCGACATTACAAAAAGTCTGTGGCTGGTGACAGGGTTAGACCAGGAGTGGGACACTCTGTTCCCTTCAGTGTGACTACTTAACTACTATGCTGTGTGGCCTGGCACACGGTCCTGTCCCAACACTGTAAACAGATTTTTCTGTCTTCAAATTACTTTGAGCCCTACAGTATACTCAGAATAATTCCAGCTGTTTGTTCATCCTCAGACTCGGCCAGTCTTGCCTGAACATGGTATATACCATATGGCTAAAATAATCTCTGACAGAGTTTGTTCCAAGAAATGAAAAGAAAAACTGTTACAGACATGCAGGTGCTCCTGTCCACACATGCTATGAACATGTGAGATGTACTCAGTGCCTAGAGTCTAGAGTCTTCCTCTTTTAAGCCGGTCATGAGCCTGTGGTCGATACTTGTAACTTCCTCCCTGGCATTCCGGATCCTCTGTACTCAGCTTGCCCTCAGCTTTCGGGGACTCGCTACACAGCATCTCTGGGACCTGAGTGCTCAATGCTCCTGCATCCTCCCCTCTGCTTCTGCTTTCATAAGCTACGGAGTAAGCGGGGACTGCCCGGAGAGTGCCAGATGGCCATTCTTTGCTGGGTTGTATGGCAATAGCCCGGTTTCCTCTTAGTGATTAGTCACATGATCTTCCCCATGCAGGGTGGGGGCGCTGAGAGGGGAGGCAGTCCCCCTTCTTCCAGTGACATGAGGACTCACACGATGAACTTCTCTCCCAATCAACGGGGCTGCCATTGGGGTCCCTCATGAAAGCACCTCTCCCCTCAAAGCAAGATGTCCTGAAGAAATTCCAGTTCAAGACAAGAGGAAATACCCGGCGTTGGTGGTGCACTCCCTTAGTCCCAGCCCTCAGCAATAAGAGACAGGGGGATCGATGTGTTCAGGGCCAGCCTGCTCTACAGAGTTCCAGGACAGCCAGGGCTACACAGAGGAACCCTGTCTTGAAAAACAAAGACAAGAGGAGACAAACTCTCTCCAAGGATAACACTGAGATTTCTGACCCAGTAACGATAAGCTACACTTTTGAATAGAGACTCCTGCCTGAGGAAGTGCCAACACTGGCCTCTCCGAATATCTCAAGTGTAGAGGTGACATCCAGGTCACACTCTCCTCTTCTCCTGGCACTGAAAAGGTGCATCCCCTGAGGAGCAGGGTACTGGTACTTCCCAAGAGCACGTGAAGACCATCATCCCGGTCCTGTGAGCTGTGTGTGTGTTTCTCTTGGGGGTGGGGGTTGTTGAAGCTGTAACTCACCATGCAGAGTCAGATCTGTGATTTCATAACATCTGTGAGTGAGGCAAAGTGTTTGTCACGTTAGGGAGGGCAAGTGCTGCACCACAGCATGCACTGGGCAGGGCCCTCCCCAAAACTAGAGAGGCTCCACCTCCACCCCTGGCTGGCCAGTCACAGTCCTCCCTGACTCCATGTTTTCATGAACATATTCAGACAGTGGCTGCAAAAGAGGGACATAGTTTCTCATGTGGTTTCTGGCAGTCCTACCACGACTTTATAATCATATTTCACAGCTTATGTGTTCATATTCTGTTTTGGTAGAGATAAAAAATCTAAGTAAAAAAAAAAAAAAAAAAAACAACAACAACAACAACCAACCCAGTTTAAAATGGATTTAAGGGAACAAGCTAGAAAACATTAACCATCCCTTGATTTTCATTTTTTGTTGACTGAATCAAAGTGCCATGGCGTCTTCCTGTACTGATGTGTCCTCTGTCCTGTTTCCTACTGAGCTGGTAGGAAAAGGAGAAAACGTCCACCTGGCATATAGGCTACGTAGCCACCCAAAACAAACAGCACAGGTGTTCAACAAATATGAAATACCCCACCCTACAGCTCCCCTTAAGTAGGTAGGTGTCTAAAACTCATTCTTGGGTGGATCAGGAGGCATAATGGGGTGCCTGAAGTTGCTGAAGGGGCGGCCACTCTGAGCATTGAGAACACATATTTGAATTTTCAAAACTTAGGCAGGGACTTTTGGTGGCACTGAGTTCGAGTAAAAGCACTGAGCCTGTCCTCTAGCTCTTGACAGACCATGAGCAAGATGCCAGGGTTAGACTTCCTGAGGGTCTTGGGTAGAGAGATGACATCCAGGTCCTGGAGTCAAGGAGAAGTGGGGGGGGGGGGGGGCTGTGTGATTTGCAGAGGGTGTGTGGCGCCGGGCGTGTCGGCCATAGAGACAAAAATGTGCCTGGAAGAAGAACACCCTCCTTGAAGTCTCAGGGCCCTTGATGTACTCCAATCAGCTCCCACGAGGATAGAATTTTGGAGGAGGGACTTGGGTTTCTATTTGCTTTCAAGTAGCGGTCTGTGTTGGCACGGTATGGGTGCCCTTTATGGAACTAAGTGGCCACAATGTTATGGGCTTCAGGGAAACACGTGGAGAATTCATCTGTGCGTAAGTGAAGAGCTGCCTTAAATCTCCACAGTCTAAATAATCCGAGTTGCCCTGGTACTGGTGTGAGAGGGAAGAATGGAATGCAGCCATATTTCTTCTTTATTGTCTCAGGAGAAAATTGTTGTTATAACTACAAATACTTAGGACTGACAGGTCAGCCTGCCCTAAAGAGTCAGCAGGCTTTTGTTAGGCAGCAATGAAATCCCTTTAGTTTGCTTTCAGGAGAAGAAAAGAAGTGTTAGGATGACCCTCTCAGCCCTCCCTTCCCCCACAGCTCCCATGTACCGGAGTCTTCCTGCTAGCGTGGCAGAGTGCCTCCTCAGGATGGCTGAGGTTTTAAAAATACACTGAGGCTAAATGGGATTTATAGCCCTTTGTTTTGCACACCCTGACTATTCCATTCCTCTTACTCAGCTCCGATCTGCCCAGAGAGATAACGCCACCCTCTCCCTCCTAAATGGAGGGATGATGGAGGCCATCCCTTCCCTCCCACCCCACTTTGGCTCTCCAGTTCTCCACTCCTCGCCAAAGCTACAGTTGTTTTCAGGCCGCAGTTGTCAAGCTGAGCTGAAACCAGGCACCTCATAGAAAAGAGCTTGGCTAGAGTCTAAGGGCACCCTGCTGCTGGGCAAGTTCGGAATTTGGTTTTCCTAGCCTAATGGAGGGTCTGTTATGGTGATCGGTGGTCATGGGGGTTGGAAGGGGACCTTTCAAGTTTGTACTTGTCAGAAAGGAATGTTTGAAACCCCCTCTGTCCTC